TTGATTTTGAACCTCTTAATTGAAAACTTTTCCTGGTACCTTAGAGTTCTTCAAGTTGAATTTCCTCTTAATGGCCTTTACAGTTAAAGATGATATCTAGCCTTAATACTTCCTCAGTTTTATGCTAAACACCATTAGTTCTTTCCATTCTTCACCTTTTGGGTAGTTGCTAGACCTGATGGTTGCTCCTTGACATATTCTATGATCCTTTGGTATTTGTGATGGTGAGATGAATGTCCGGTCTTGCACATGCAAGGCAAGTGCTCTACCACTGGGCTACATCCCCACTCCTTGACAGAGTCTGGATGGACTGACCACAGTCTTCCTTGAGAAACCTTGTTTTGCTGAGCTATGTCTTACAGGAAATCATGGATATCATCTGCCATAAGCAAACATTTAATAGTAAAGGGCTACTGTCTGTGCCATTTGCAGACTTTTCTTCTTTCATGAATTGGATCCAGTGTCATTCTTTTGTTTTTATGTAATTCGCTGTAAGTAGTTGTATAATGGAGTTGCCATTTAACAAAGCAATTTGTGAATACAAAGCAATTTATGAGTACAATGCATCTTCATCAATGTCACTTCTTTCAACATTCTTACCCATCCCTTCTCTACCCTCCCCTCCCTCACTCTTCTTAATTTTGTAGGATATACATTGAATTCTTGACTGCATCCTCTCCCTCTTCTCTTCACTCACATACCCCATTTCCCCTTAACCTCACCCCACCCTGTTCAAGTACTTGCTTCCTGGTGTTTATCCTGCTGAACTCTGACTTTGTCTTTCTAAGGAATTACACTATTTGAGTTCTCCCTTGAATCTACCGTATTTCAATTTTCTTAAAACCCCTCAAAAACACCATTCTCTATCAACTACATATCTGGAAATGGTACATTCCCCAAATACAATTAGATATAGAACAACTCTTTAGAGTGGAAATTTTTTTTAATAGATTGAGACTCTGTTTAAAAAATCTCTTAAAATAAGATAACCCCTGTGGACTTAACAAAAAAAGACCCCATATTTTATTATGCCTATCACATGTTGGACTTGATATAGTACTGACTGATGGTTTTCTCGATCAGGGAAGAATAGAACAAGAGTGGATGCCCTCAGAACCTGAGAAAACTGACCACTAAATAAAAGAGAGAAGTGGAGAAATAAATAATAATATTGGACTAAGCCAAAAGTTACTCATTCCTCTTGTGTATACAAGTATGTGTATATACATACTATACACACACACACACACACACACACACACACACATCAGCTAGTAAAGCAATTTGCAATTTGAAATGTTTTCCAACTGTCTAAATAGAAGAAGATGTGGGTAGCTCTATGCTTTCTTATCTCTCTCACAGATATCTGCCTCCTTTTGGCCCTGAGAGTAACTCTCCTCTTGATCACCATCTTACCTTCTGCCACTCAGTGAGTTTCCTCTTGACAATATAAATGTCACTTTGGAATAACTATTTCTGCTGTTTAGTTGGAAGGTGCTTGGAAAAGTAGTGAATTTGTAGGAGTTGGTATTGAGTTATATGATTTCACATTAAACAATGTAAAGTCAATAGGTGACTGCTGCTTTTAAACATTTTCTAGTTCTTTTTCTTTTTAGAACTATTTTATGCCAACAGAAAATTTTTAAAAAAGAAAAAGAACAAAACAACAAATGACCTTGTCTTGCTTTCCCCTTGCCAGGATTATAAAACTTATGTATACCATTAGGTTTAAGATTTTTCTAACTTACTTAAAAATCAGGTCCTGAGTTCTGCATTTGGTTGAGATGCTTTCTTCTCATCTGGTGTGGAGTGAAGATTTCCAAAGGCTTTTTTTTTTTTTGGATGCTCAAAGGGCCTTCCCTCTTCTCATGTGAGCTTTCACATCCCTCTTTTAATAATATGCCTTAACAAACTCTCTTCTTCTGGTGACATAACCACTTCCCAGTGGGGCCCATAGTGTTGTGTAACATTACTGACAGACCTGTAAAAAAGTGACCAGCAGTCTTAGGAGCCTATACGTGCCCTGGGTTCTCACAGATTGCGTGAGCTAGATGTAGCAACTGTGTACTCCCATGGCTTCAATTGCCTTTTTCTACAGCAGTACTTTCTCTGGTTCTTTGTTTTTGCTGGCACTGAGGTTCGAACTCAGGGCCTCACACTTACCCCTTAGCTTTTTTACTCAAGGCTAACACTCTATCTCTTGAGCCACAGCTCTACTTTTGGCTTTTGGGTGGTTACTTGTAGATAAAAGACACATGGACTCCTGCCCAGGCTAGATTTGAACTGTGATTCTCAGATCTCAGCTTCCTGAAGAACTAGAATTACAGGGATGAACTACTGGTGCCCAGATTCCTTGTATATTTTGCATTATAATGTATATCTACACTTTGGTAAGAGTTCTGGGTACAATAGCTCTCTCCTGTAATTCTAGCTACTCAGGAGGTTGCGATCCGAGAATTGCAATTCGAAGCTAGCCAGGTACGGAAAGTCTGTCTCTTATCTCCACTAAACTAGCAAAAAAAGCCAGAAATAGACCTGTGGTTCAAATGGTAGTGTGCTAGCCTTCAGCAAAAAGAAGATTGGGGATAGCTTCCATACCCTGAGTTCAAGCTGAAGGACCAACACACACTCATACCCCTCCCCCTGCCACACACACAGGAAAAAGGGAATCCATTTTCATTTCTGTCAGCTACTGACTTGAAATACTTAGGTTTTTCCTGGGCTCAGTTTCCCAACATACAAAGGATTGGGTTAGATTTCAAGGTCACTTCCAACATTCTACAACCAAGTGAATTGAAGCTCTAATGTTGCACTTCAAAACAGGTGAAGAGAAACATAGCTTAAATGTTTCTAAGTGAATAGCAAGGATCTATAGTTGTCTTCTGGGGAACAGGAAAGAGTCAGTGGAACTATTGTTGATTCTTAATCAGGAGCTGTGCAACCCTGGAAAGAGTCTATAAACTGGCGTGTCACCTTAGAACTTTTAAAGGATGTGCTCTGATTGACACAGTGGGTACAGGTAAGAAAAACAATCACATTGTCTACACCAGCTGTAGTCTACTTATGTTAGGGGATACTTTAAGAAAAATCTGAGATTAATTATTGCTACTGCTTAAAGGGTGGTTTTCAATCAAGACATGATCACAATCACCAAGACACAGGAAATCTGGTATGTCATGACAAAATCTTCATTGAAAATTATCATAATATGTATTTTTTAAAACTCCCAATTCTTCATTTACTTACTTTTGATGGCCTCAAGATCCTAATTTCTGAGTGAAATTTTGTAAGATCCTGTCATGACTTACTTGTTCTCCAAGCATGAAAGAAATTAGATTCCTGAATCTAGAATATGATAATTAGATAAACCTTTTATTTTCTAACTTTGGAGAAATAATTGCTATAAAAAAAATCTAGATTCCATGTTTTCCACTTTCTCTTGCTTGGCTTCGTTAGAAAAGGCATTTCTATGATGCATGGAATGGATTTGCCACATATTGCTATCACTTATTGGTAAAAAAAAAAATCTGTAATAAGTTATCATTTGATGTGCAGTAGCCGGGAAGGGCTAGAGTAGTGGAACGAAGAATAGCAAGACAATGTCTGGATACACAATTCCCAAGAATTCAGTGGTTCGTGAGTGTACAGGGTATAGGAGTCAACAAGTAGACAAAGAAAATCCAGACCTTTGATGACCCCTGGTGAATAAACTAAGCACTGCATTGAAATGTAGCTAGAGCCACAGGCTTTGGTGCAGGCGAGCCCCCTCGCTCCCTCCTCTCTTCCAGTGAGGCAAACGGGGTATTTTCCCTGAGAGTCTGTCTCATTTGCGTTGCAGACAGAGCTTACAGACTTGAGACATCTTTATCCCCCTGAACAAATCTCACTTTGGTGATCTCTGTCAGCGGAGATTAAGAGATATGTGTGCATAAACTATGCTATATCTGCTCAGTGACTTCTTAGACAACGAGCAGTGTTATTTCTGGAATGTGAAAGGATTCAGTGGCCTCCTTGAAGTGAGATCTGCCACTTTCTTTCAGATGGGGTGTGCACTGATAGTGTCTTACGGAAAAGTTACAAAGAATACAGCATCCCTCTCCCAGAACCCAAATCTAAAATCAGAGCTTAGAAGTCATGAGTTGCCTACGATCGCTGAGTACCTGGCCGCATCTTCTTCCATGCAACAGAGCCCAGCTGCATTTCTGTAAACAGCTGTGTGCGACCAGCATGTGGTATTGTGAGCCAAGAACAGGCTGTATTTTGTCAGCTTGCAGGAGAAAGGAGAAGGAACTGTTATCACAGTGAGGAAGCATTTTAATGCTTCTCTGGTTTGCAGGCATACAAATTATAAAAGTGATGACATTAAGTACTCATTTGTAATCACCCAGGTTGTCACTTATCTGACAGAGTTCTCATACAGAAAACATTACTCATCTATACCCCTATTTCAGTTTACCTCCCCAGTTATTGATCTTCTAGGTTTTTAAAAACTTGGACTATAAATGTTTGAGTTGCTTGCTTGTTTCTGGTCGTTTCTGATCGTATCTTTTTGGCCTTCTTGGTTTAAAACTCAAGGACGTATGCTTGAAGAATTGCCTGGATTGAGTCGATCTATGACCTTCCTAAGATGTTGGGTTGCTGGGTTTTAGGGGCTATAGGAGTGAGTCACTGTACCAGGTCAAAAGGTGATTTTTTTTTTCAGATGAAGCTAACAACAGGCCAGTTTGCACTGCAATATTTATTAAAATTAGTGTGTGTGTGTGTGTGTGTGTGTGTGTCTTTTCGTGGTACTTTGGGTTTGAACTCAGGATCTACCGAGGGAATTCCACAACACCCCATCTCTCATTGTTTTCATAGTGTAGGGGCTTGTGAAATGCATTCTCTCCTCTCTTTCTTTTAATCACCCCAAACCAAGGAATGTTTTAATCTCTAAAAACAATCGATTTTTTTTTTACTCCTTTAATGGGAAAACACCAGAAATCCCATGTGTGCGTCTGCTTCCTGAGCAGCCATTTTGGTCTCCCACAGAGATGTCAGGAGCTCCTGTAGAGTTTGGAGCATTGATTTTCTTGTGTGACCTTCACCACAGCCCTACGAGGTCATCGGCATCATTGGTGACGTCATCTCTGGTGAGGAAGCTGGAATTCTGAGAATCGAATCAACTTGCCAGAGGTCAACAAATGCAAAGGTGAAAAGAATCTTAGAAGTTGTCTAATTCAGCTCCTCCACTGCCTACTCCATTTTGCAAATTAAAAACAGAAAAACCTAGAATGGGATATTTCCAAGACAGTACAGCTTAACATGAACTTGTTGCTTCCCGGCCCAGCTGTTTATCTTTTCTGATACTCTGCCTTCCTAGGGCATGTCAATGGGAGGGTCTTTGTCAAGGGAGCCAGAGAAACCCATGAGACTTCTGGGAAATTGTTGAGTACAAAGTCAGGTGGGAGGGAATATGATGAAACATTAATAAGAATTTGAAAAATAACTTGTGTTGGAGGAATGACATATAATTGTTGAGGTTTCTTTTTCAAATTAACTAACGTAGCTTTGGTTTTGATCAAAACCCATCTGTTTCCTACCTCATTATATGCCTTAGTGGATAGTTATATATAGAACATTATAATTTGAAAATGTTGTCATAATATTGTTGGCTGAATACATAATCTAGTGTGTAGCTGGAGGTCAGATTATTAAGGATTTATGGACTATATATACCAGTCCTTGGAAGTATTGCCTGAGACTTCAATGAGATGTGAAGTATTTTTAAATCTTTTTTTATTTTTAGTCGTACTGGGTTTTGAATTTAGGTCATTTGTGCTTCTTAGATAGGTATACGATCACTTGAGCCACTCCAGCCCTCTTTGTTCTGATGATTTTTGTGGTAGGGTCCTGCTTGGTTATCCCAGGCTGAACTATTAATGCTTCTCACCATAGCTGGAATGTCAGGCATAGACCATCATACCCAACTCAGTCTGAAAGCTTTACTTCATGCTTAAGTTGTCAATCCCACATGCATATGAAAGGAACATCTTCACTGAGGAAATGTAGCATTCAAAATGTGTTTCCCAGGAGTAGTGTTATAGCTAAAGTGGTAGAGTGCTAGCCTGGAGCACAAAGAGGATTTAGAATAGCTCCCAGGCCCTGAGTTCAAGCCCCAGGACTGGCCACAAAAACAAACAAACAAACAAAACCTCCCAGCCTTTCTCTACATACTATAGTACCAGTAGGTTATTGAAGCAGAAAATTAGTTTTGCACAATTTATTGGAAGGTGCTTTCAAAATGCCTTCAAATTAAAGGTCAGGTTCTGACCACCCAACACATTGTGAGATATTCAACCCTGAACTCAAGGAATCTTCCTTTCTGAAGAAGATCAACTGGGCATGATGAGAGTTGTTTCTTAAGGTGTGCCACGGAGTTTCAATTCTTATATCCAAAATAAGTTTCTTCTTTTTGGTGGCACCCAAAAGTTTGAACTCAAGCCCTCACACCTGCTAAGAAGATATTCTGTCATGTGAGCTGCTTCGCCAGCCTCTTTTGTGTTGGTGATTTTCACAATGATCTTGGCCATCTAGACCTGTACTGTGATCCATTTATTGATGCTTCCCTTTGTCACTGGGATAAGAGGAATGAGCACTTGTACTCAGCCATTGTGAGTCCCTCATAGCTTGAAACGAGCGGCTCATACTACCATGCCCCGCCATTGGTTGAGATGGAGTCCACATGAACTTTTACATCCAGGCTGATCTCAAACTGCAGTCCTCTCATTTCGGCCTCCCAAGTAGTTGGGATTACTGGCTGGAACAACTACACCCATCCAAAACAAGTTTCTTTTTAGAAGTAGTACATTTGACCAAAAGAAAAAAAAAAAAGCTTTGGAAATCTGAAGATGGGACTTTGCACACAACCTCTCTGCTCTGTCAACATATAGACTTGGGCAGCTGGTTTAGCTTTGTTGTTGTTGTTGAAAGAGAAGGCTCTGTAGAGAGCCTAAGGAAGGTTGATTCTGCTATACTGTGTGGCTACAACCTCAAGTTCCTCTGGTTGTGGTGATTTGGAAAGCTACAATTTAGGATTGTGAGGTAAGCCTAGCGGTAGAGCTCATGATAATGTTCAAGTAAGGCTATCTTCCCAGGGATAGCCCTGCATCTGTGGACAAGGTAAGACTCAGCAGCCACACATAGTAGCACTGGATGAAGCCTGGAAATTCCAGACAGAAGGACTCCTGAAGCTCTCGTTTGTCTACATAGATCTTTGAAGCTCCCGGACATTTTATGATTAGTGTGTAACAGTGGGAAGGGAAATGGCTGGGTCTAGATTTTCTTCACAAAAGGATAGGTTTAGGCCCAAGGAATTGATTTCTTTAAAAAATTAAAAGCTTTATGATCTGTTTAGCTTAAATTTTAGATAGCTTATATATTGTGCTGCTGAGGGAAAGGGATCATTTTACTAACAATTCAAGAGTATGTTCTTTAAAAGGATCTCATTTTTCTTTAGAAGAACAAGCTCTTTCCTCAGTAAGAAAGACACAGAGAGAGAGAGAGAGAGAGAGAGAGAGAGAATGCACAAAACTCTTAACCTTAGAAAGTTGATGTGATTTACATCATTCTCAATAATACAGTCTTCCTTAGAGAATTGCAGCAGGGTGTCCGGGGTTGGGAAGAGGCCTTTCCAATTTCATGCATCTCCTGTGTCCCTTCCGATCTTAGAAGAACTGCTTATTTTCATGACAGCTTTTGCATGAGAGAATTTCAGAGCCAACCAAAGAGATTGCCAAAACGTTGAGTTCAACCTCAAATGTAATTAGATAAAAGGAATCAATTCATAATGCAGCATGAAATTCTACAGCCACATTTTTTAAAAAAATGTAGAAAATATATTCTTCAGATAATCTAGAAAGTTGTTCTCCAATCCAGCAAACATATGTTCAACGGTACTTTAAATTTCTCCTTGGCATAGCACTCAAGGTCTCAAAAATCTGGCTGACCTGTCTGCTTCTCCTCCTTCTGCTGGTGTCCCGACTTGCAGTCATTCAGAATTCTTTCCCTTTTCTTATACCATCATGCCTATAATTCTTGGTTTGCTGATTCTCTTTCAGGATGACCTCTCTCCCCTAGTGAACTACAACTCTAAGGACCTGGCGTACATCTCCCTTGCCACTTGCTTTACCCTCAGTTAGCATGATTCAGCTCTACTTTTCCTAAATGGGTCACATTGTATTCTAGTATGTGTGAAAGGTTTTTATAGCCATCTAGGCTAGAGATGCCAAAAGAACATGACTGCTGTGTAATTCATCTACAGATTCATGGTAGATTGTTAAACAACTCTGCAATAAATGAAAACATCCATGAGTGAATTCTATGAACCGTGACAAGAGGACAGTAGAATAATCTACAAAAGTCAGATGTGGTCTTTATCCTGTAGATTATAGTCCTAAACAACAACCATGTTAACCTTACCTTTGTTCAAAGACAGATCTCTAAGCCTTGTACTGGAGATATAAAAAAAAATTCTATGGAAATTATAAGCCTAGAAATGAACACATATTCAACAAGCATTAATTTTTTCTTCATTTAGCAGTAAGATTTAGGTGGGAAAGACAGAATTTAAGTTGGGATTTGAAAAATGAGCAGCAGTAATGCTTGGAAAAGCTGTTGGAAATGCTCAGAGAGTATTGGTAAAAGTAGAGTCACAAAAACATGATGCATTAGGGAAATAATGGCAATCTAATTTGGTTGGAGCCTGGTGAGAGGAGATAGTAGGAGATTTATTTAAAAGACCTATATTGAGAATAATAAAAAAAGCTTTCTATTCCATGGTGAAACAATGAGGAGCTGTTGAAGGTTAGGAAACAAGGTGTGAAATATCTATTAATACGTGTGCTTTGTGAGGACAGAATGAGATCCTCCATGAGCTTGCAATGGTGGTTGGCACATCGGAAGAACTCAATGATTATTTGTTGTTATAATTAGATACTTTCTGAGAGAAGACATACAGTAGGAAGAGATCAAAGTCAAGAGCAAAAATTAAGCTATAGCCACAGTTTAAATAAGCTAACTATGAACTGTGCTTTAAGGAACTGTGTCTTCAATAGAAATAAATTTTATTTGGTATTATCTCTTGATTTGTATATTCTATGGAAAATTGCCTTTAAATTATGTCCTCATAATTTTCACTTGATAACTGTTATTATTGGGGGGTGGGGGAAAGGACAGGACCTAGGATTCAACTCAGATTCTCACACTTGCTCAGCTTTGCTTGCTTGACTTGCCCTCTACCACTTGAGCTACTCCTCCATTCTAACACTTTTGCTGGTTATTTTGAAGATGGAATCTCAAGAACTTTTCTGCTTGGACTGGCTTCAAACCTCAGTCTTCCAGATGTCAGACTCCTGATTAGCTAGGATTACAAGAATGAGCCACCTACCCCTCACATCACTATTAGCTTTCAAATTGATAACACCTCATACTACTTTACAGTTACACAGCGCTTTGCCGCTTGTAAAACTCTCACATGTGTCTCTTAGCAACTGTATGAGAGGCTATAAAGAGTCCCATTTTACAGAGCTAAAACTGAAGTTTGAAGCACATTATGGCCGAGTCATGACATGGAGAGGAAACCTGTGTGCAGCTGGACTTTAAAGAACCTGAAATACGATAAAGCGCTTTAGAAGAACTCTATCTGTTAACTTGTGGTTCAGAGTTACTGAGCCATGAAACTTTCTCCTTCAGTTGTCTGTTCATCAACTCTCATCCTCTATAGCCTTTTTCATTCTGCAAAAATAATAGACATAGCATTGAACAATCGGATGCTTTGGGACAATGTCACACATAGTCTTTTGTTCTATGTTCGTAGAACATGAATATGCAAAGCCAGGCCAGGGTGGCTCACACCTGTAAATCCTTGCTATTCAGGAGGCTGAAATCTGAGAATACTGGTTTAAAGCCAGCCAGGGCAGAAAAGTCCCCATGGGACTCTTATCGCTAATTAGTCACTCAAAAAAATGGAAGTAGCACTGTGGCTCAAAGTGGTAGAGTACTAGCCTTGAGCAAAAAGAGCTCAAGGACAGTGCCCAGGGCCTGAGTTCAAGCCCTATGACAAACAAAAAATAACTTAAAAGAAGATAAAAAAGAAAATGAGTATTCATTGTTGATGGACAAATTTAAGTGTGTGTAGGTTATAAAAATATAATGATACCTTTTCTGTCTCCCAAGAGACTCCTGGGAATTTTTAAAGCAAGAAACTTAAGGTATAGATCAGCAGTTGTTAAGTTTGAACATTAGCTCCTAGATTTAGATTTCCATTTCCTTTCTAGATTTTCTTGGTTATTCTTATTGGTTGCTTTTGTTCTTTATTGTCCATCTATTTCCCTACAGTTTGTTTTTTTTTTTTTAATGGACATAGAAAAAGAAATGGTTGTCAAATAAATCTACGTAGATTCTCAGCTTTGCCACTTAATAGTAAATGTCCAAACAACCTGTTTAGCTTTTCCATGGAATAAAAACAAATAAAGATATCTAGGGCCAAAAAAATAGTGCTAAGACATCTTAAACCTTTAAAATAAGCACGTTGTTCATAGTAAAACTGGTTAAGATGTTTTCCATAAGAGAAAGTAAAAGTAAAGTCAATTAAGTTGAGAAAAATCCAAACTGTCAATAAACAGGGAAAATATTGGAAAATATTACTTCCTGCTATTTTAAAAATACATTTCTTAGGTGTGAGCCCTAAAAGATTCAGAAGCAATGATATTACAGTGTGAGGTAAGACTCTCCAGCTCTCCGATTTGGGGTTTGAAATACTATTTTCTACTGAAAGGAATCCGAGCTCCTTTAAGAAGCTTATGATTTCTGGCACTAACTTTGGTGGTTCATACCTGAAATACCTGGTAGTCAAGAGGTAGAGACCAGAAAGATTATGGTTCAAGGCCAGCCTCAACAAAAAGATCAGGACCCATCTCAACTCAAGTGGTGGCTCATATGAGTAATCCCAGTGACCTGAGAGGCGTAGTTAGGCGGATCAGGATCTGAGATTGGCCCAGGCAAACATCGCCTGACATCCTTGGAGTAACATTACACAACTTTTCACTCTGGAAATTAGTTGTAAAGAGAGAGAAAAATTAACCATGTATCCTGTCCTCTATGATGATAAGTTATTCTTTTTTTTAAAAAAAAAAGGCTTAATTTTTATGTGATAAATGATTTTCACCAAATTTATTGATAATTTTTTTAAATAGGTAGATCAGAAGTTGATAGAAAAAGGAGACATTTGTTTTGATGAAGGCAAAGGGAGAATATTCTCCTCCATGTTTGCAGTGGAGAGATGGCATTGCTACTGTCTTAATCCATGGCTCCAAGATGGTATCTCTAAAAATGGGGCAACCTAGTCATGATGTGCTACCCCAGAGGGTATCTGAAGTAATTCTTAGGAAGTCTTGCTACAATGTTCCAACTGATCTCCAATCAAGCCTGTGGGTCCAAATTCTAGTTTACAGATAACACAGAAGTTTCTGGGAAAATGTTTAACAGCACTACCTGGGAACAGTTTTACCACACAGCTGACCTGAAGTCTTCACTGTTAATGTCATAAGGCAAAAAGAAAAATTGAAGGGAAGTATTTTACACTATCAGAGCTTACGACACATAATTTTTTTTTTTTTTAAAAAAAGCACAATTAGCCAGGCACCGGTGGTTCACTTCTGTAATCCTAGCTACTCAGAGGGCTGAGATCCGACAATCTCTGTTCAAAGCCAGCCTGGGCAGAAAACTCCGTAAGATTCTTATCTCCAATGAACCACCAGAAAATCGGAAGTGGCGCTGTGGCTCAAGTGGTAGAGCACTAGCCTTGAGCTGAAGAGCTTAGGGACAGCGCCCAGGCCCAGAGTTCAAGCCCCACGACTGACAAAATAATAATAATAATCATAATAATAGTAAAGGTATAGCCCTTGATTGGATATAATTTGGTAAGTGTGGTATCTGTTATGAACTTTTAAATATGGTTCCACTACTAGGGAATTGTTTTTTTGGGTGTTGTAGAGTTATTGTTATATAGGGAGAATGTCTTTAAGTTTTAGAAATGATCATTTTTAACATCTGCCTTTGAGTAGTGCAGAAAGAAATGAAAATCTAGGTAAATATTAGATAAAATAGATAAAAAAAACCAAAACAAAAATCCAGCCAACTGTTAAAAAATGTTGACTGTAAGTGTTAATTTCATTCATTTTCTACCTTTTTGTATATTTGAGATTTTTCTTTTTTTTTTTTGGTTATTTTATTTTTATCTTTAAATAGTTGTACAAAGGCATTGTCATTCAACAATAAAAGAGTATATCAATGCAATGGATCTTGATCATTGTTATCCCTTTAATACTGTAGAAAGTTTTAAATTTAAAAATGTGATTTTTAAGCTACGTTCTAAATCCAACAGATACATATACACATATATTAATGTGTATATGCAGAGCACCTATCACTAATTGTAGATTTTTTTTAATGTTACATTAAGAAAGTTCAATCTAAGAAGAAAAAAATAAAAACTCTTCCCTTGGCTCAGCTGGAGTCCTTTTCTTTTTAGATGAAGTGAAATTAAACATGCACACACACACAAATAAGTAAACAAACTTCTTACCCAACACTTTCCTGCTCCTACCCCTTTCCTCTAATTGATTTACTTGGCTTGGCTTTGTTGTAGCAACATGGAGAGTCTTCAGCTTTTCATTCACTCTGGATAGTGCCAAAGACATTTTGCACTAATTCAAATCGTAAGGTCAAAGAGAATGAGGGAGAGAGCATGCAATGGGAAGACAGATGGAGTGGGGAAGAGACAAGAGACAGATGGGCCTCTCTCAGAACAAATGATGAAGCCATACTAATAAAAACATTAAAAAAAAGAAAAAGAAAAAATCAAGGAGAATGTGAAATTGCTAAGAGCCAGGCTATCTCAATTGCTAGAAATGTGACCAGAAGTAATTTACACTCACTCTGACCTGTTGGAAACTATCAGCCTGTGGCTAGTGTTTATACA